CTTGATAGCCTATTACAAGGGTGCAGACTCTTAGTTCGTTGCGAAGTAAAGAGCCCCCAAGTAACTTCCCTGGTGGCCTTACGCCGATCAAGAGGTGTAGCTATGGTTCGAATACGACCAAGCCCCCAAGTGATTTCCCTGGTGGCCTTACGCCGATCAAGAGGTGTGACTATGGTTCGAACATAGCCCCCAAGTGATATTATGAGTTGTGCTCAAAGGATACCCATGTTTGAGTTGTGTTGTGCAACAGACTCTCTTTGGCCCCTTATGATAATATTGGCTTGATAGCCGGATTACCGAAGTAACCAGAGCTGTGCTCTTATGACAATATTGGCTTGATAGCCGGATCAATATGTAATCAGAACTTCGCTTTATAAACAGAAGCCCCCATGTGATCAATAATATGATAAGCCAATAAGGCAGGATAACCCATGTTTGAACCGCGCGTCATGGCAACAGGTCCTCTTCGGCAACCTTTAACTTTTTGTAAGAGATAAGTTCTTCTTGAACCGGGATTTTGAACCGGATATTGAGAGCGCCAAAGCTTTGTGGGAGACATATTTCCCTTGAACCGGATTGTAAACCGGAATTTTCATTTTCAGCCAGAAATTTTCTGACGGCCTTTTAAACTCGAACTTGCGAGAATTTAATTCTTTTTGAACCGGAATTCTTAAACCAGATTTGAGAGCTTCAGTGAGACTGACTTCCCTTGAGCCGGATTTTAAACCGGAATCCTTCCTGATGATCCAGAACTTCTTCATTGAGCCGGGATTTTGTAACTGTCATATTCTTTCTAAACCGGAAATTTTCTAACGGCCTTTAAATTTTCATCAATATAATAGTAGTCTCCGAGACCGGGTTATCTTTCCCTCCATCGTCCTGGGGTTCTTAAATTTGCTGAAGCTGGCAAGATTTGCTGAGTCATGTCATCGTAGCCCCCGAGTCTCAAGGTGACTCGAGGAGTTGGCTTGAGATTCTTCATATTTGACCGTGATATAAACCGACATAAGTTGTATATCATTGGTGTTGATAGCATGATGTGAATCCGCAGAAGGTTGAGGTGACTGTGACGGGTTATAAATGATCATGTATGAGCCGTGCCAGCAACTCGGCAAATGGTTCCTTCCAGCTGGCTATTTGAAGTTAACCAAACTGCAGTGGCGACGACTTGTGCGCATTGAGCCATCCAGTGCAAACAACGGTTGATGATATATGATAATTTTCTCCAGAGTTGTTGGTAGAAAACTGGGCTACCCGAGTAGTGACTGGCTTTATACTCAATAAACAGCTCATGCAGACAAGTGTGGCCCGGTATGTTGATGTAGACCAGACCATGATAGACGGACGGTAAAGACGACAGCAGCTTCAGAGGCGGCATAGACACATGAATCGGCCGCGGCTTTGTAAATCGGCGTGGACGGGCGAGTTAGCCACATCATATTGATGTAAACCGGTCTACAGAATGGCGGCTTGCACATATATTCATCGATCTTGATGGCATGGTAAGATACTAGCGCATTATAATTGTGGCGCGAGTTATACATCCATGACACAACCATAGCTTTTGAAGTGAATAATTGTCCTGCATAAACAATATTGCAGACAAAAGCAAAGATAAACCGATCTTTGACAAAAATAATATGTGCTAATAAAATATATTTGAGATGGATATCACCTGATGTGTTTAGGCCGAAAAATAATCCGCCATGAAGTTGATGATCACTAGGTGAAGCTGAAATCCCTCACGGGTGAATCGGCCGCGGAAGCAGATAGATGAGTCGGCCATGGCGTTTATAAGCCGGTGCGGACGAGCAAAATTGTCCTCCTCATCATAAGCTGATGCAGACGCGTGAACTGGTCGCGAGGGCGGGCGGGCGAGTCGTCTGTGATGCTATAATGCGGCGCGGACAGGCGAGTCGGTCGGCGCGTTGATGTAAACCGGACCATGACACGCCTGTCCGTGAAGCCGCGCGACACAGCCGAACATGCATCCTTGGTATACCCCCACCCTTTTTTTAATAGTTGCCCTGCGTAAAAACATTACAGACCAGAGTAATTGTTGTCGGATGAATTAACATATACTCATAAAATACATAGGAAAAATAACACCTGGTATTTTTTTGCCGGATGCTGGCGCTGGATAATGCATAGTGCTGCTTTTGTTTTTGACAAAAGATTTGACCGGTTCTGTATCTTTTAGTGCCTGAGGTCTTCACATAACCCGGCCAGAACTTTTTGAGCCGGAATTTCTGGAACCGGAACTTCTTGATAATCCGGCCAGAACTTTTGAACCGGAACCTCTTGATAATCCGGCCGAAACTTTTGATAATCAGGAACTTTTGAACCGGAACCTCTTGATAACCTGACCGGAACCTTTATCATAATCTAGGTCAGAACTATTTATCGACTCGGACGGAACCTTTCGGCGATTCGGCTGGAACCCTTTGGCGATTCGGACAGAACTTTTCATCGAGGCGATCGGAACCTTTTGGAGATTCAGACGGAACCTTATGTCGAAGTGCTCGGAACTTTTCAATAATCCGGCTAGAACCTTTCGACGAGCCGGCGGAACCTTTTGATGAGCCTGACGGAACTTTTTTGGCGAGCCAGCTGGAACTCTCCGACGAACCGACCGAAACTTCTTCAATAAGCCGGACGGAGCTTTTCGATCCCTGGGATATCGCCCTCCAAGAACTCAACACCACCGTGCGCAGGCCCCACGGCGGGCGCCAACTGTCGTGGAATTGTTACGGGAAATGTCCTAATGTGAGGACTTAGTCGTGAGGCCAACACATCTATGTGGTAGCTTGATAGGGGTTGATCGAAATCGAGAGACACAACACACAAGACAAGGATTTAGACAGCTTCGAGCCCCGGGAAACATCATCCGGTAATAACCCTACATGCTGTTTGTGGCTAGGTCTCATTATGCTCATCATGGAGTCGCCGTAAACCGGCTCTCCTAGTTGTGTCTAGCCTTAAGATTATTTTCCCTTCCCCCTTTTGGGGAGCCATACCCCTCCTTATATATGTTGAAGGGGCGGTTTACATGACTAGTCCTAGTTGGATTAGAATTACTCTATTACAAGTGGAGTCCTAGTCTTGCTTCCTTTGTAGGAGAATATTCCTTGTGCTTTCCTCATAAACCGGCCCACCATTAACATGAACCGGCCTTCTGGGCCTTGGGCCTTGTCATCCGTCTGACCCGCCCGCCGGGTCATCAGTGAGTCATAATGTTCAGGCGGGTTGTTTATAAACCGCCAAGTCAGGGGCGGGTCGCCAGTGAATCGCCAAGTGTCAACCTGGTCTCAAGTAAACCGCCAAACCCGGCCGGGTCATATTTCCGGCCGGTTCATACGCGCGGGGTATATCCCCGACAATGATGATGAGGACGACACGGAGTAGATTGTAGCTGCACCATAGTTTATCTAGTTGCACCGTAGTATGTAGTTGCACTGTAGTTTAGATTTATCTATCTATGTTTGAACTATGTAAAATATCTATGTATCATTTTATCTATGACTATGTATCATTTTTTATCTAAAAAAAATATGTATGCAACCTAGTCCACTTCCGTTTTAGCATGCCTGCTGGAGCTACGCGCGCGTTAAATTTTAGCGCGGCTGCTGAAGTCAGTGCTGTCCGCCGCGCCAACCAGGCGATGGGCGCGCGGTAAAGTAACTTTTAGCGCGCGGCGCGTTGGGCAGCTGTTGGAGATGCTCTTACGCCTAAAGAAAACACTACTCTTCAAAGCCAAACAAGCAAAGAGAAAAGGGTTAAAGCATAAACACTCTTTTTTGCCCTAAAAAAACTCTCTATTAGGAGAGTGCACGATGGACGCACACACCATATAAATGTGCGCGTCTTCTGCTACAGACCTACCCGTGGCAAGAGTTATGTGGTCAAGCTTACCACATATGCCAGCTGGTAGGCAGCTAGAGAGATTTTTTTTCTCGGGTTTTCTTTTATAGCTTACCACATATGCCAGCTGGTAGGCAGCTAGAGAGATGAGATGTCGAAGGGTGAGGCAAAAATGTTTGGAATCCTCTAGCTGGTGAGAATTTGTGCCTCTCACTTTGGTTGGCCGCAGAGAACGCTATCACCAGTGTTAGAGAGAACATGGTCCACTCTTCAGTTCTACACCCGATTACTGATGCAGACATTACTAATGCAGACAACAGCAGGTTCTCTTTTCTCTGAAGCTGACAGGAGATGGCCCTGTTAATCTTTCCTTTGGATGATGTTCATCATCCAGGCACGCAACATCAGTGAAGCGCAGGCTACAGAGACCGTCCTCGTAGGGCACTGATCTTGTCCACCTGACCGTGCTGGAATGTTCCATGATTCTGATGGCCACAAAAGAGGCTGTACATGACGATTTTTGCGTGTTTATTTTGTTCATCACCATCCTCCACTATGGCGGTATGACAGTTTCAGGAATAAATTCCCACCAGGCATCAAAGTATCTGTTCTTATTTTCGCACAGCAAAAGCTTCCAAATATCTTTATATTAATAACAACAAGAAAATTATATTGTAGTTTTAAGGACAATATAGTATATTCCCAGCACCGACGTATCCGTACCAATAACATATCATCGAGGCAATCGTACAAACAATAGTCAGAATTGGGTCATCACATTCGCTGTCCACATAGAAAATGGTTTCATGTACAGATGAAGGATAAGATTACACTGCTTTCTTCCGCTTCTACTCTTCTCTTTCTCTACGCCTTTAGTCCGCCGACAAATAAAGAATTAGACAAAAGGAATGAACGCGAAGCTGTTCAGCAGCATCACCAATTCACTGCCCTGTAAATCTCTCCCCTTCTAGACAAGTCAGGGAGCTACAACCAAATTCAACAGTGGTTCAGGTCTGTTTCAACAACTCAATGTCACTGTACATTGTGGATCTCTGGGTCTCTGTTCTTGGAAGAGAAGCCTTCTATAGGTTTGAGAGGTTATGGTTGTGTAATAAGAGGGCAAAATTTTGTTACAGCTGTCATGACAATCTCTTGCGTATTGCTACAATCATCTGGTTGGAGATTTCAGTGCCCCGCAGAATGAGGTACAATACGAATGAGGCGTAAGCAAGCACTGCCATGCAGAGAATTGAGCCGTACAATGGACCTCGTATTTCAGATGAGAAGAAGTCCAACAAGAGATAGCCGTTGATTGTGATCAATAGTGCAGCCACTGTCCAGGTTACAGCCTGCATAGAGATGCCCAAACATGGTGAGAACGTCATCATCTTGAACAATGTGAAATTTAAACTTAGGGGCCAGAGAAAATAATGTTCAGGTGATCACATTACAAGGTTGTGCAAATGATGATTTAGTATATATTTGTCTAATAAAAGTCCTACAAAAACAAATAACCACTGGGGATAAGATAGTGCTCACTTATATTAACTAAATACATAAACCAGTGGCTTATAAATTTAGGGCAGAGGCTTTTGTCAAAACATGCACCTACATCTGAATTTCAGCAAAATCTAGAATCGTGAACCAGAAAATACCACAACTAGGCTCTAGAATTTCCACAAGGGAACACTGGCTACAGTAGTGCAATTATTTGCAAGCAAATGTGACAGAATTTTTAACCTAGAAACAGGCCTGCACATGAATAATCTTAAAACATACATCCCTCCAGAGAATATCGTGTGGCTAGGTAAATGCTTAAACACAGAACATCCGAGCATGCCAAAAAATAAAGGTGCACAATTATGAAGAAAAAAACAGGAGAAGGATTAGAACTGAGGTTAAGGAGGACTTACTTGCATTTTACGACCTATTCTAAAAACTCCCATGACTTGCTCTTTGGATACCAAGGTTATCAGAGGAATCAGTGCAAAAGGAATCTGAATTGATTGAAGCACATTGAGCCACTCATTTAGAACATCAAGTGCATCAGATGAATCGAAGAACAGAGCCACAATTATAGTCGGCACAATTGCGAAGCTTCTGGTGATCAGTGCCCTAAGCCATTTCTTTAACCTCAAATTTAGGAACCCACCCATTATAAACTGTCCAGCATACGTTCCTGTTATCGTGCTACTCTGACCGGCTGCTAATAGCCCAATCCCCCAAATGTAGAGGATAGGTAAAAAGCCCCCACCAAACTTCTCTTGTAGATATTGCCCAGCGTTTTCGAGGCCGATACTGCCGGCTTCCTTACTACCATAGAATCCTTTAGCGAAAACAGTTGTGACAAAGAGATTTATCATGAAGGATATAGCCAATGCGACCGTTGACTCTATTGAGTAGTATCTCAATGCTTCACGGACTTGGTACTCCTTTTTTGGGTCTATTTTCCTCGACTGCACAAGCGCTGAATGGAGGAACACGTTGTGGGGCATAATAACACAGCCAACAACCCCAACTGCTTGTCTTATTGTCTTAGAGCTCAATTTTGGAACCAAAATACCTGTTGATAAATTAGGCATGATCAATGGACAGGAGTGTATGGGACAAGTTAAATCAACAAAGGCTAATCTGTGAGATCCTTACCAATTAACAGATCCTTCCCATTGGGCTTGGTATCAGTGAACATCCATGCGAAGGACACTGCCATCGTTGCAATCAAAACTGCAAATACAGCTTCCAGTTTCCTCACACCATAGTTCTCAAGAGAAAGGAAAATGAAACTGACAAAAGGTAATAACAAAGGTAAGTTGATGATTCAAACAATATAGCTACATAGCTTTCTTGCCTTAGATTATATAAATAGACGTATTAAAGGCACATAACTAAACATGTAAAGTACAGTGATGTTAGCCTCATCCAGGCCCAAAGCGAGGGTATAAATTCAGATAACAATATCAGTTCTACTAATATTATAAACAAATGAATAGTTCTGAATTGTGAGCTTGTGACCATTTGGAAAAAAGTATATGTCAGTACCAATACACAATTCAAGGACCATTCGTAGAATTCTGGAATGAGATGCAAATAAGAAGTAATTTCACAGAATACAACTCCTGTCAAAAGCATTAAATTAACATAAAGAATCACAGGAATACTAAGCAGTGGCTAAGAAGCATACTTTTGGATACAAGGTTCCTAACATATAACTCTTGTGAAATAAAATAATGTATGCATATGTCAGCAGCATTAATTCATCGTGCAAAAGCCAGTATAGACCTTCGCTTTATAATCAGAGGTCAAGAAAATCATACGGTACACTCATGCCACAATATCTCAGGATGAGAAGAGCACAACACAAAGTTTTAGGGAACAAAATCTAACAAGGAGATCACAAATAAAGTTGGCAGGAATCGTCCCCAGTAAGTTAGCCATTATTCAGGAAAACTGATTACTACTTGGTTCGGTGCTTACCCATGCAAGCCATCCCCAACCACCAATGTGATTCTAAGTTTTAAATAAAACCAAGTGCCAATCAATCGCATAACAAACTTCTCTGATCTTTTCACCGCAATGGTTCAGAAAATTACAGTTACTGTAGTTGCTACGTAGAAAAAAACGAATTAGAATTCAAACTTGAAACTTCTAAAATTTTGCAGATTCTTGTCAAGGAAGGTAAATTAAATGTCTGCAACCCTCATATCTCGTAGGGCAGAATGAATTGAAAGTGAGCCAAATGTAAATCGTCAATTGTCACATCACTGGTAGTACAACCTCAACAAAAAAGATCAAGCATTCCTATAGCTTTGAATTAAAGCAAGCGTGCATAATGATTTACAATCAAATCTGCACCAAACCAACACCTAACCATGCTGGGTCCTCAAACTAATGTGAAACTACCATAAGCAGTAACAGTAAGCAAATAACTAACTGAGATCTAACACTAAAACCTCACTCAAATGTCAATAGCAACGACTGGGACAAAAATCACTTTTCCGGTTTCTCGTCTTTTGAAAAAATCCCTAATGCTGATTTCAGACAAAAAGCAACTTATTTTGGAACTATTCTGTGATTCAGCACCTTGTCTACAATCAAATTACTCCAATTGCAAATAAA